TGCATTTTGATGTACCGAAGGTTGTTCGGAGTCCCGGATGTGATCACGGACATGACGAGGAGTCTCGAAATGGTCGAGACATAAAGATTGATATATTGGAAGCCTATGTTTGGATATCGGAAGTGTTCCGGGTGAAATCGGGATTTTACCGGAGTACCGGGAGGTTACCGGAACCCCCCGGGAGTCATATGGGCCTTATTGGGCTTTAGTGGAAAGGTGAAAGGGGCTTCCCATAGTGGGCTGCGCGCCTCCCCCCTCCCCTAGTCCTATTAGGACTAGGAGAGGTGGCCGGCCACCTCTCTCTCTCTCTTTCCCCTTTGGAATCCTATTTGGAATAGGATTAGGGGGGGGGGTCCTACTCCCGGTAGGAGTAGGACTCCTCCTGGCGCGCCCAAGGGCTGGCCGCACCTCTCCCCCCTTGCTCCTTTATATACAGGGGCAGGGGGCACCTCTAGACACACAATTGATCCCCGTGATCATTCCATAGCCGTGTGCGGTGCCCCCTGCCACCATATTCCACCTCAATCATATTGTAGCGGTGCTTAGGCGAAGCCCTGCGATGGTAGAACATCAAGATCGTCACCACGCCGTCGTGCTGACGGAACTCCTCCCCGACGCTTTGCTGGATCGGAGCCCGGGGATCGTCATCGAGCTGTACGTGTGCTAAGAACTCGGAGGTGCCGGAGTAACGGTGCTTGGATCGATCGGATCGGGAAGACGTACGACTACTTCCTCTACATTGTGTGATCGCTTCCGCAGTCGGTCTGCGTGGGTACGTAGACAACACTCTCCCCTCTCGTTGCTGTGCATCACCATGATCTTGCGTGTGCGTAGGAAATTTTTTGAAATTACTACGTTTCCCAACAGCTCTGGCACCCACAATCTTCGGCATGCAGGGATCTCGTCCGGGTCCACGCACCAGGCACGAAGCTTGAACAGAGAGAGATCTTCCCTGCTTTCAGTCTCCGGTGCCAGGCTATCAATTAGACATGAACTTCCCAGCAGCTCCGCCGCCGTGGATCTGGCCCAAGCATGGGACGGCACACCCTCGATCATCAGATCAACCTGAACACGCATCAGTCTGGATTTTGCCTGAGCCTGCCTCAACCACGGCTTGATGAAGAGCTTGAAACCCTGGTGCTCCACCAATGGACAAGCCAATGCTCTGTTTCGGAGTTCATGCGAAGCGAACACAATGAGGAAATCCTCCGGGTGATATTTGTGCGCCGAAAAGCGATAGCTCGGGATGTTGAGCTCTTCAGAGATTGCTATAGCTGCGTCCACACATGAAACCGGCAGCCGTGACCCCCCGACATAAGCCACCACAGCCAGCTGCAGCCAGCGCTCGAGGTCATCCATCCCCTCAGAGCGTGCCAAGATGCAGACCTCCGCTGCCGCCGGGGCCGAGGTAGTGTAGGCGGGCACCATGGGAGTGAAGCTGGGCGCAACTGGCGAAGACAGCACACGCGGTGCATCCTGCCTAGGCTCCGGCAGCAACCCCCCCACACCGTGCAGCGACGCCGGCACCGGCCCGGTCCTGGCAACCTTGGAGATCACCGCTCGACGGAGCTCATCTGCCGAGACGGGACTGCGCGGCCTCATGCACTGGGAGGAGACATGTCCAGGGAGCCCGCATCGGATGCACATGGGGTCGTTCGTGCAGTCTTGCCGCCGGTGACCATCCTCAAAACACCTGAAACAGAGGCCCCAAAGATCATGTGGGATTTGACGATGCTCCGACGAGGTAGGAGAGCTCCGACCATCCTGCACGCCAGCACCCTACTAGCGCCGCAGCGCACGACGACGACGCCACATGGCCTTGCGGGAAGGCCCTGGCTTGCGCCATCCCGCATCGGGCGCAGGGGCCGCCTGGACCGTAGGACCGACCACCGCAGCGCCCGCCGACGAGGAGCCCGCCGACCCCGGCGAGCCAGAGAGGCCGAGGCCGGACACCACCGGTCTGTCGCGCGGGAAGGCCGACGAGACCGAGGGAGGGCTGCGCGACCCGGAAGCCATAGACGCCAACCGGAAGAGAGGGGAGGGGGGGAAGGAGGAGAAGGGGCCCGCAAGGGCGCAGGCAAGCGGCGAGGAGGCGTGGACGCCGGGGCCGAAGTGGCCGCCGGCGGGGAGGCGTGGACGTCGGGGCCGGAGTGGCCGCCGGCGGGAGCGGGGAGGGAGCGCTAGGCGGCGGAGGGAGCACAGGAGTGGCCTAGTACTGACGCAAAGCTAAAACCCAGTGAGTTTGTGGATTCATTTCTAGCTTTCTACATTTTTCAGGCATGCTTACAAGGTGTGTTCGTCCCTGGCGGTAAATTCGTCAATATACATTACAAAATAAATCATCTTTGAACATTGGAGGAATGAAAATGCACTCCCAAGTGATGAGGTAGAATGGTAGAATGGGCATTGGAGCCCCTCTAAAACCTCGAACCCGTCGCGCGATAGGCGCTCCTCAGGGAGTAAATTGCTCAAAACCACCACATTTGTGGCTAGGATACTCCAAAACCACCATCTTTACCAAAAATCACAAAAAAACCACCACTTCTGCGCCTAGTGAATAACAAATCGTACTGATCCGAAATTGAGCGCGTCTAATAGTAAAACTGACGGGTGGGACCTGTCTATCCAGCCTGATGTGGCGAAGACAAGTCATAGTCAATGTTTGACCTATTGATGTGGACCAGGGTCCCACCTGTCAGCCACACATCTTGTCTCCTCTCTCCTTTCCTTCTCTTCCCTCCTCTCCTTCCTTTTCACAGGAGCTGCGGCCATGGATGAACGACAACGGCGAGCCCCCCCCCCCCACCCCGGTGCGCCCT